TTTTAATTGTCCCCTACAACTTACTTTTGGAGCATTAGGTAAGCAAGCACTACTGTTGCGCTTCTACTCCGACCTTCGAAGCAATGAACTAAAATCTTGCCACCTGTTTCTTCGCCATGCTTGATGAAATCGAGAGCTTCTTGAAAGATGCTCTCGATCTTTGAGTCTTCTTCGTCGGTTATCTGGTCAAAGGGAAGACACAAGAAGAGAAGGCTCATCTTTATAGATGCATTTTTTTTTTACCAATTCCTTTTAAGAGACATATAAGACAGGTTCACTTACTGAGAAGTTTTGGTACTTGAAGAGATCCGGGTATTGAGTATCCGATTGACCGATTTCATTAGCGCACAAACATAGAATATGAGTTATACCTAAATGCTGAAGAGTGTAAATCGACCTTGCAGCCAATCCTCCCCCGATAAAAAGATTATCTTGTATCATTGATGGTTTCTCCGTATTAGCAGCTTTGCAAATCAATGATATCCTCTCAAGAATATGCTCAAGTCTAACCTGTTATGAAGGAGAATGCAAACAAGCGAGACAATGTTTGAGTTCAGTTGCCAAAAACCATATTATGAAATGAAGATCACATTATTCAGGAAATAAAAAAAAAACTCATGATACCTTTAGCTCGTAAGCATCTGTGCAACTGTTATTATCACTGCCCTCAAAAAAACCAGTGTTGAAACCGTTTTCTTGGCAGAGTTTCATAACTTCATTCCGCAGTGTTTCATTCCACTGGTCTAGTTCTTTATTAGACTCAGCATCAACCTGGACGCACCATGAAAAGATTCAGATTGAAGAAAGAGAAAATGGCTGAGAACTTCCACCCAAGAAGACAATCGGAACCTACTTTACTAATTAGTATATAGTGATCAAAGCTCGAAGCGACAAACCTTGGCAAACTTATGGAAGTCGCGGAGCTTTGATGCCAAACGCTGACTGCTAAGAGATTCTCCACCTTTATTGGATCTTCCATGCCAACTTTCACGTGACTTAGGCGAACTCGCATCTTCTTTGTTTTCTGAATTTGGTGTCCTAGGAACTGATTTTTGCATATCTGACTCACTGTGATCAGAGCTGTTATCACTATGCACCCGATCTTTTGAGGGAGATGGATAGTGATTCACCTCATGCCCATGGGTTTGCGAAGGTGACTCAGGAACAGAAAAATCTTCTCTGTCAAAATCTGCACACATTGTTTTGTCCATCATACTAAAAAATGCCCGAAGCAACACATCTAATTTCTGATGAAGGGTGACAAGGAAGATGTGAAACTCTTGCAAATCTCTGAGACCAGCACGGAAACCATTTCGGAACTCACGTACAACTGGTGTTACAACTGATCGAACATTAGATGTTTCTTCACCATCTTCTGCCTGTGGATATCCTAAATTTCCTTCTGTTATTTCATGTAACAAATTCGAAGAGTATTGGCTACTATTGAGGAGTAGCTCAACTAATCTTGGATAAATTTCTTGGTCGCTTGCCCGTTTTCCAGCAGGAGGCCGCCGTGGAACACCCGAGTCTATGGCAACAAGGTGAAAATCAGCAGCTACTGATCTATCAGACATTGGACTCATTAAACCAGTGTCATACGATTTAGGTGATTCCGTTATATCGGAAAAACCAGACGACTGTGAGACCAACATTTGATCACTGATACTCAGCCTGGATCTGCTATCTACAGAAGAAGCTCTTCTTTCCCTTTGAATGGATCTGTAGTCCTTTGGATGGTACCGTTTGATGGCGGAATCAAAAGCTTCTTCAAATGAGCATTCAAGGTGTTTTGTAGAAGACAAAATTCTGTCTGTCAGTAACAGATTTGCCGGGTTGCCACGCCATCTCAGCTGACGACAAGGTAATCTGTCTTCGTTCCTAATTACTAGATCTAACACCAAGATTCTCCCTAGAGCTGCTGCTGCCCTCTCTGCTTTTTCTTCAGTTTCAAAACTACTCATGCTCTCCAGCATTGGACATCCATGAACATAACTGTAATCACAAATCGAGAATCAAGTGCTTAGAAGAGGGATTCTGTACAAACATCACATATTAACAAATGTAAATTTGAAAGAGTGGGATAAGGACATAAGGTTAATGCCTACATGATCCTATTAAGTAAGACTAGATTTCTGTTCAACTATATCTCTCATATTTATTATCATTTAAGGCAAGATTAGATTTCTGTTAAACTATTGTTATCAAATTTTAGCCAATGAAATGATTCCATCTCATATTTGTATTTTAGGTGTTTCTTATTTTATAATGCAATATTTATATCTAATAAATAACATCTTTAATTTTTTTTTAAATATAATATTAAATGGTGTATCCAAATTTTCAAATTTCTTAATTTTAAAATCATCGGACATGGTCGGGTAACTATCTACTTAAACACTAAAGCAAAGGAACAGAAACCTGTCAACATTATGTTGCTGGTAGAAGTCTAAAATGGAGAAAAGTTATAAAGGATAAGATGAACTTGTGCTTTCACCTCATTAAGAGAAGACAACGGCTGAGCTCAAGGGCTTCCAGAAGTTCTGAACATGTCATCTCACCAACTTCGTCCCCCTCCGAAGTGGCTTTAGCTTGTGCTTTTTCAGTGGCTTCTTTGATCAGTGTCCATTCAGGATTACAGCTATGAATTACTCTAGCCTGTCGCATGATAATTACTCATTACTCGAAAAGTCGTAAAGAAAGAAACTGAAGCGAGCGAACCAATACTACAATGTTCTCAAATACAAAAAAAAAGAAGAAGAACCTGCGGAATCTGCACCCCTAGCCACTTGGAAAACTCATAACCTAGACGTTCTGATTGCGTGGCCATCCTCGATGATGCAAATTTTATAACTGCTGCTTCTTCCTTACGAGAAGCATCTTCAGAGCTGGAACTATTGAACAGGGCAAAGAAAACAACTCCCCCAGAATTCACAGTAACCTATGCATACATAAGAAATTCATCTAATAATGTCAAAAGATCCTCCTACTATTACCAATCCAAGATCATAATGATATATACCTCAAGAGGTTTACTCTGGTCCTCTTCAGAATGATCAGTGCTACTACTATGCTCAGTATGATGAAGTGAAGACAACATATTCCATGAAAAACAGTTCGATTCGATATCCACAGTAGAAGCTTTACCAAGCCTTTCCCACAAACTAATTTCTGAACTCTGATTACTTGGTGGACTTTTTGGATCAATATTCCCCTCTCCTGCACTGGATAATACTTCTATCAACTGTCATTTCCTATTGACAAAACACAAAGACCACAAAACTTCTTCTCATGAAGACTAATGTCCTAATTTAGAAACCTTGTTCTGATACTCATAAGATTCCAAAACCATAAGCAACAAACCAATTGCTACCAAAAATTAGAAATGTGGAAATCGGAGGAAGTCTTAACCTAGTGACCATATCATCGATGCGGTGAAGGCGGTGAGGGAAGCCAGAGGATCCGTAAGTAGCACTTCGTTTACGAACTAAATCCAACCATTGAGTAAACCTATGAGCTGGACCAGAAGCTATATCTCCTAACATGTACAAAACCTGCAAATTCCAGTAGTTTTCCAATTTTAAAACGAAGATATTTATATAACCTTAAACCTAATAAAATCCAGGATCGAAGAAATCTACACGAGAAGTGACGGTGAGAGGAAGAGGAGACTCGTGCTCGTCGTGACCAAGGTAGAGATATTTCTCGTCGTCTTTCTCCTGCGATATCACCATTAAATCAGATCTCCAAAATCAGAGAAAAAGGCAAAAAATCAAAATCTGACTCTCTGCGAAAAGAGAGAGAGAGGTGAAGAGAAAATGTGGGGGTAATGATGGCTGCAAAAGGTGGGGGTGATAATGATAGATTATTAAAATTTGGGGGGAGAATAAGGATTACTTGAGAAAATGATTGATCTCGCTTCTTCTCAGGATCCGCCATTGAAAAAAGCTTCGTCTGAGAGTTTAATTTTAGAAATGTCTTTTTCTTCAAATGTCAGCTTTGTATCTGAGAAGAGGAAGTCGCAAGGATCTTTAATTAATTAATAAAAGGAACTTCTCGGACGAAGAAAGAAGAAGAATATTTAATTTAAATTTTATTATTGTCTTTCACAAAAAAAAAAAAATTATTATTGTAATAAAGACCCTGATTGTTGTAAAAAAATATAAAAATAAAGACCTCATTTTTATAACTACTTTTTAACTCCTCTTTTTATTTTTTATTTTCTCAGTCATATTTTATAAAAATTTTGGCTAAAAATATGCATATTAAAAAATAAAAGCTTAACTTTTCTAGAAAAATATGATTTAATATATTAATTTAAAACAATTCCAACCAATCATAAAAAATACTATATAACATAAATAATCAGAAAAATTAAATACATTTAAATTTTGCAAAAAAAACTTCCAAATCATCTAATAGAATAAAACATAAAAAATCGTAAAACATTTTATAAAATGAAACATGGAAGTATTTACATATTAAATACCAATGTAATTGGACAATTAAAACTTTGATTACCTAATTGGCTAATTGGTAGCACTAATGGGTACATCGTTATTGCTAGTAACCTAGTATAGTTAACTAGTAAAAAAAATTGTGTAAATTTATTACCAATACAATGATAGTACTAATCTATTTGTAAACCATTGATTTTTACCATTTTTCTTATATTTTAGTTATTATATTATCACTGATTGTTAATTTTTTTTAGCGTTTTGTGTTATCAATTGAATCCGTTGTATTTTATGTTCAACTATTTTGATAGACATCAACAATGTTCAAAAAAAAAATCTTTGTTTTTAAACAAATAGTTAGTGGTTTAGATTTAAACAAAAATATATAATTCACTAAAAGTTCAGGGTTTAATTTGAAATTTTCAGTTCACTAAAATCATTTATGGAATTTTGTCTCTTTTTTTTTTGCTTTCTGAAAATTCCCAAAAAAATAATAAGCATAAATATTGAGCCTAAAATATATATTTACATTCTTCTGGTCTTATAGTTAGCCAAAAACGGACCTAGGGTTTTCGTCTGTTGCAGTCACTGTTTCTGAACTCTCTCCTAAAGCCTCTATATTCGCCGGATTGTTCATCTCCAAGAATCTGTCATCTCCGAATAAACCAATCTCGAGGTAAATTGAATCTGATTTTCACCAAAAAACCTTAGTAATCTCAGAATCATCGATTTAATCACCTTCTTATAGTTTCGTAAATCACACGAATTCTCAATTATCGTTTCACAATTTCGATTGTTTTTTCAGTGTGAATTTGTAACAATGAGTAAACGAAAGCGTCCGGATCCGAAATCATCGGGAAGTAATCTAAACGAACCACACGAGAAGCTTCTTCTCAATCTGATTCGAAGCAGCCAAGAAAAGGGCGTAACGATGAACGAATTGAAACGCGATAAAACTATCCCAGCAACTATGATTTCTCGATTGACTACTTCTCTTAAGAAGAAGAATCTCATCAAAGAAGTAGCAAGCATGAACAACAGAGGTGTCAAACATTTTCTAGCTATGGAGTTTGAGCCTAGTAAGGAACTTACTGGTGGGGAATGGTACATTGATGGAACGCTTAACCTGTCGAAAATCGAAGATTTGAAGGCGAAATGTGTTATGATTTTGGAGAGGCATAGGCATAGAGTTGTTACGTTGGAGGTGATGTGTGGGTATTTTGTTAAAGAAGAGAAGTTGAGTGTAGAACAGACTAAGGAGATACTTAAGAACTTGGTTTTGGATAATGTGATCATGGAGGTGAAGAGTAATGGATTGAATGAGTTTGCTTCTACGAGAATCGGAGAAGTTTGCTACAAGTTGACTGGTAAGAAATCCGGTAATGGTGAAGCCAGAGCTGGAGCTTTTGCTTCGGTGCCTTGCGGGGCTTGTCCGCATATAGGGCTTTGTTCACCTGACGGTGTTATCTCTCCGACTACATGTGTTTATTTCCAGAAATGGTTAGACTTTTAGCACTCTCTGTTTTGTTTTTCTGGGTTTAATACTTAAGATTTTACATTTATGGTGATTTGTTTTTCGGTTATACAATATGGAATGCTATTGGTAACATAAACTAAGAGTCGAGGTTGTGATTTGAGAGAGTAGAGGTTGGAGAAGAAGATGGAAGAAGCTGATCGGTTTCTTTGCGACAAGCTTCCCATAATTGTTGCTCTACTCCTAGTTTCCTTAGCTCTAACATACCTCGTTCCACTGGAAAGAGAACAAGTTTTAGCCTTAATGTGATGTTAGAATCAGAATTATGACAAAGGTAAATTTCAATTGAATAAGTTTATTACCGTCAACGACATCCTGAGAAGTCGGATTTTTTCCTCCACTACGACTGATCCAAAACTGCAGACGTTCATCCGCAATGTCTTCTTCCACACCATGTAACTTGGCTCTACCCCAGAAGTACATCAGCCACGCCTACAGATATAACCAAACCGCATCAGTTCATCAAGATACAACATGATAAATTTACTAAGGTTATAAATTATAGGCTAAAGAAACTACCTGCTTAAAGGCAACATCTTCTTGTTCCCCTTCTTTTAGCTCTGAATTTGAGAAATGTGATAGCATAGTAAGGATTTCATCAAGTTTGATTATGCTAATATCATACCTGAATGATCATGGAGACTCTTCTCTTACCATATGTCTCTACAAATCTGAGTTCTCCATGCCCTTTGGAATCTGTATGATGAGGAAACAGACTATCAATCAGACTAGTAAAAACAGACTATATTTGTCATTGTATACTAATTGATGATACATCATACATACCTTGACGAACTAAACTGGGTGTTCTCTTCTGGGCGAATGCAAGCATAACCGCATCTTCAACCTAAATTTCATTGTAATATAAGAACTTTTAAAAATGCTTGAGAGATCTCAAGGGGAACCTCATGATTATAAATGGCGGTAGAAGACACCTTTAAGGATGCTAGCTCTCTCAAACCCATCTCAACTGAAAGCATACGTTCGATATTTCCTTCTCCAGTTAGATCACTTAAAAATCTATCAGTTTTGGTCTGATCACTCCCACCTGATCAATTCCAAAAAGCTGGTAAACAAAGATGATGCAAACAACAATATCAGGGAAACCTTGGCCATTTTAGAAGTACATGGCACATATTAAGACTAGCCTTCGTCCTGAGATAACTCCTTGGCCTTTTGTGCTGCAGATATGACCAGCTCAAATGGAAGAGGAGCCAAAGCCGACCACTTTTCATGCCTTGATGATGCTATGTCAGAACAAATGCCTACATACGGAAGCCATAACTATAAGCCTTTCACTAATATTAGAGAAAGCTTAGTAAGTGTATCACGAGAACACATTTTCAAGTTCATAAACTTAACATTGCAAAGAGAAGCGAATTTATGCTGCGAAAAAACGGATGCATCACTTACCATGCTGTACTGCCAAACCCCAATACCGGGCAAGCCAGCATCTCTTCAAGGCTACTTCCTCCTAGATGATCATTTTTTTTTGCATATAATCAGAAATCTTTAAACGTGAGTGATAATGAGACTTGAGCTTTCTCAACATACCATTTCGTCATGTGTTAAAACCATTCTTTGAGTCATTGTACGAAGAGCCTTTGCTTCTGCCTCTGTTTCTTGAAGCCGTTCCGCAGCTGTTACAGCCTCATCCTTCAGGCTCTGAAGATAAAGTACAGATTAGAATATCACACATATTACGAAACCAGAATAACAATATAACATACCTGAAGTTGTGAACGAAGGGAAACAACTTCCTCCTTTTTGCCATCTTTTTTCTCGTTAGCAGCCTTAAGAGCAGCCTGTAGCAGGCAAGTACCATTATGCCAGACATTCAATCAAAAAAATTAGGCTTAAAAAATGTCTATCTCTCACTTAATGTGGTATCAGAATAATAGAAAATGTGAGCTTGACCAAAGATACGATAGAAAATATAGTATTCTTCTACACACTAACCTCTCTTTGGCGCAATGCCGCTTCCTTCCTGAAGCAGAACAAATTTAACATGAGCCAGATAACTACTGAAGAAGAGAAAAATAAAAATGAAAAGCATCAGAGGTCAGGGCTCCCACCTACTTAACAATTTGGCCTCCAGTGACACTCCTTCTCCAAGAGAAGCAACCTGTGGGACAGGATAAAAAAACAAATGAATCTTTCAAGATATACCAGTACCTATGCACATGTCATTCCAACTAAAATTTCCTTGAAAGTATGAAACTTCAATGAAATCTACTTGTCCTAAATATAGAGTATAAGTTCATTGCATCTCTTCACTTGGTTTGTCACTAAATCTTATAAGACTGATATCATAATAGAACTTCATTTGCATATATGTTTGGTCAATCAAACATACTTAATGTTTCCATGGGGTTTCCATAAACTTAAACAATATGAAGCTACATTTTTTTTGTCTCTCACTATACGTACTTAAAAAGGCAGGACAAAGACATAACACAAGAGGCTGTGTTAACATAATAATGAAAGATTGGGGACTCGATTTCAACAACTATTATCAAGAAAGAGAAATGTAAGCAAGTAGGGAATAGTTTTCTCTCAAAACTCAAGGAACAAATTCAGCAAAGATGGACTAGTGATGACAAGTGGATCAAAACCTGTTTCTCCAGCTCTCGAGCCCTGGCTTCTGCTGCCTCGCGGTTTTCTTCTGCACGGTGAAGCTGTAATCCAGTACAATTTTTATGAATGACAGAGGAGAACAGATCATTTATTTTACGAATAAATTCCAGTGACAAGATGAACCTTCTCCAATACAATCTCATTCTCCTCTTGTAGCATATCCACCTGCAATTAACATATAGTCAGCAAGGTAAATGGACCAGATAATCCAGAAGGTCACAAGGAAAAGTCCATATACTTCATCACGAAGAGCTGAAGCTTCGCGCTGATACCCTTTATCTCTCGAATTTACTAATGGTACATCACCAAAATACCTGAAAACGTTACATTTATGAAATTAGACCCAACATAATGTTGTCAGACAAAGTGATGACCTAGTTGAGGACTGATGAGTGATGACTTAGTTAGAAAAAGTGAATATATTCTTCACCTTTGATCTCTATCCTTAAATGAATGATCAATTGGAGGAATAATCACTGGAGGTTGAAAAGAGGCCTTAGGCGGCATCCGAATAGGAGACGCATTCGGAATTGTGGATCTACTAAACGTTGATGGTCTTCCAGTAGACGAAGAACGCACTGACGTCACTTGCTCAGTGATGTTTCTACCTATCTAATTAAATCATAAAAACCAAAAAGAGAAAAAAAACATCCATGAGAATAATCACAGAAGCCAAAAGCTCCACTCATAATCGAAAATCGATCCGAATTACGAAATCTTACCGCAGGTGACTGCGATCGATTGCGGCGAGAGAAGGATCCGTTGATAGGTCCAGAAGAAGGAGGTGCGAATTTGAATTCGTGATCGTCGTCATCATCATCGTCTTCTTCGTTGTCTTTGTTCTGTAAAGCCATAACCTTCGCTAACCGTTGAGCCGCCGCTTTGGTGGCTACGTTCTGAGTCCTTTTAACGGTGGATAAGCCACCAACACCACCGATTTTATTCCGGTGAGCAGGAGACATGGACGGCGATCTCGATTCCGTAACGTTAGATGATCTGCTCCATTGACGACCGTACACTGGGCTCCCAGCCCTCCTGAGATCCATCAGTATTCAAATTCGTTCGCAGTATGAAACAAAAACTCTGAGAGAAGAGAATTGTTATCGCGGAGTAAAAGCTAGATTGTGGGAGGGATTTGGTAAGCAGTTTAAAAAATGTGAAAGAGTGGAAACGACGCCGTTTAATGCGGAGAAGAAGAACACATGGGATTTAGATTTGCCGGAGAAAAATATGGGACCCTTTAGTCAACTCCAGATTTGAATTTTATTATACGACGTAATTTATTACATTTATATTATAATTTAAATTCAAAGGCAAGTCAATATAATAAGAAATCGTTGACAAAGAAAATAATTAAAGACAATAAAAAAAAATGAATGGCAAATTCATTTCAGTGATTTAACAACCAACAAAATGAATTTTAAAAAATACCACACTAATATCTAATAAATAATCATCATTTACATCGCCGCCATATAAGATAAGATTTATTTGCAACGATTACATCCACATTAAATTATGAAATCCTAAAAAAACTATTACATCACATTGTTTTTACCGTATGCGTTTCGAAATTTACAATACAAAAACTTGTTGGCATATTTACCACACAATTTGGTGAAGAAACAAAAACAAATCATAGGGACAAATATGTTATTTCGGAGGCCAACTCCAACGAACTAACAAACTCTGCGCGCGCCAAAGAGAAGATCCAAAGTGAAAGAAAAGATTCCTGTTAAAACAAAACCGTGGATACTTTCCCCACCTTGTGTCCCAAGCTTTGAAGGACTCAAAGATGAGATTTTTTCAATTCTTGAGATAGGTTTAACGGAAAAAACAGTATCGAACACAACCCTCGCAAATACATGCCGAATTTCCGGAAAATCTCCTGAATATAACGAACCATACTCGATCTTGCTTCCTTGCTTGGCCTCAAATCCCATTTGTGTCTCTTCTTTTTTCACACTATCGAATATTCTGCCTGCTCTAAGGTACAATTGCAGCGGTATAAATACCTTAAAAAACAATATCAACAGATTAGGACATCCATTTCACACATTGAGATTTGTTAAGATTTCTCAAGGGATTATTACCAAATCGGAATACGGTGCTTGAGGGTAAGCTGTCATAGCTTTCGATATAAAATACCCATCAGTCATCTGGTTTAAAGCATCTTTGATAGATTCATCAAGATCCATGACCTCGTCCAACAGGGTTTGGAAGTCGATATTCTCCTCGGGCTCTACTAGCTCGAAGAAGCTTTTATCGTGTGGCCTAGTGATCTTCTTTGTGATTTTCACAGCTTCTAGAATATCTCCACAGTTGTGAACAGCAAGGCTAAACGCAGCTACAACTAAAGGACTTCGAGGATGATCAGCAAGCGCTTTGTGAAATGCCAAGATTGCTATCCTGTCAAATATCCAGATATTATGTAATAACATAAGATAACAAGAAAAAATGCGCCACTCATAAGATGAGATATGAATTCAAATGACGATCTATCTTACCATAAGCTGCTGTGACAAGGTCTATCAGGGGCTAACAATTTATCCAAATTAGCAAAGAGAGTCTGCATGATAGAATATTCATTTTCAGTTTCTTGACTCGATGTTCTAAACGACAAACACATCTACAACTATATAAGAGACGCTTTCTTTCTGACCAGAAGCATGTTAGTCCTTTTGTCACGTCTCCTGAAACCACTGCGTGCAAGATATGCTGCCTGTGAAATAAAAGTTGGATAGACAAACATTAGTAATAAGCCGAAACAAAGAGACACAAATAAACCCTGATTCCATTTACCTGAATTGGTAGAAGAATTTCTAGTATCCCAAATTTCCAAAGCAATCTCAAAGAGGCTTCTGCGGATCCATAAGCTAACATATAATTCATTTCCATCAAGATCCTTCCCTGAACATTTGACACAGAATCATTCATGAACACGATATAGGCTAGCACAATATACCAAGAGCCTACCTTGTCAAGTCTTTGCACTAGTAAAGAAAGGTTCTTAATAAAATGAGCTGTTTCCTTGGACATTCTGAAATCTAAACGCGCAGCAATTCTTATTGCACGAAGAATCCGAGCTGGACATATTATAAACGATGAGCTTGATAAAATTTCACTATCTATAGTCTTAATGGGTTACATAGAAAAATTCTTGTTTTTCTTTTGACAGACTTACCACAGTCCTGTTGAAAAGATGTGCCAGCGTGAATCACTGCTCGAACCTGTGATTGTAGAACCACATTAAGAATACATGTATATCACCAAAAATGGTCTGACATAAATCTGAAAGCAAATTAGAGTAGGATACATTCACACTTTAGCTTTTCTAATATCTTCCATTCCTCCCAGATAGTCATATACAACTTTGGCATATGGATCAAACATCAACCTGAGAGAGGGAAAACAATGTAAACACACAAAGAGACGTGAGGAAGGAGAAACTATAAGAATCTCCAAACTACTGATGCAAAAGAAAAAAGAAACCAGTGAAGTATTAACAACTACCAAGATTACCCGTTAATTGTGAAATCACGCTGCAAACAGTTATTCAAACGGATACAGTCCTCATCACCATCTGAGCCACTCGATTCTTTGGATTCAGTTCTCGTATTTCTCGGATAATTCTGTGCAGAGGTACTAAAACTTGAGACCTACTCAAATAAAAGAAAGTCAATGAAAACATAACAAAAACATAAGCTTTTCCTTCTGCTATGCATACATTGTACTCTAAAGAAATAAAAAGACTAGATAAAAAAGAAACCTCTACTAAATCATCTCCAATGTGTACGTGACATATAGGAAACCTTCTTCCAACAATTTCACATCTAGGGAAAGTTCGAACCACCTAAACATCATCGATGCCAAACAAAATGTGAAATCAGATTGGGGATAATGTAGACAGTGAGAAAAAGAAAAACAAGCAGGACCAACCTCTCTAAGTTCTGCAGAGGTGAGTATATCAAAGTCTTTTGGTGTCCGCTTCAGAATAAGATCCCGAACACAGCCACCCACAAGGTAAACATCATGTCCTAGAGATTACAGAATCAATATAACACATAGTTGAACAAAGTTTTGATAACTTGAGAAATGTAAGGACTTTGAAACTATCAACCTTTGCTCTTAAGGCCATTAAGCACTTTTCTCGTGGATTTTGCAATCATTGAGCTGCTTATGCCAAGATCTTTTGAATTCAGTTGCTTCCACTCACGATCCCCTTCATTGGCCAAATCAATAAAATCAATCTAAAAGATAAAACAAATCAAAATAGTTGTAGCATTGTGATGATCAATCAATAACTCCACAACAGAGTACCAATACCTCAAAAATTAGTATCTACTCAAATGTTTGACATAATATCTAGTTTGGAGCAGAGAGTCTAGTCCTAAGATTATTCAGTTTATACTTCATCCACATTGACACATTCATTTCATGACTTAATACAGTAAAATCATGAAGTTAGCTTACGTGTCCCATTAGCAACCTTGTCTTGACTATCACTGTCCTTGGTGAAGAAACCATCTGAGTCATCTATTGTCTCAATTGCAGCAGCAACAGTGTTGAACCGAATCTGAGAGCGAAACAACCCAATTAAGAAAGAGAAACATACAAAAGAATCGAATAATTGTATAATTTGGTTCATAACTACATATAAATAGGTAAAGAGTTCACCTTCCATAAGCAGTGAGACTGGAGAGTACGAACAGGGAAATAGGATCTACAAGCGAAACCCACACTTGAAATCGCCATTGAAATTGAAAAGGTTCAACATTTCATCATCGGTTTTCAAATTATACTTCACTGAATTGAGAGTAGAACAGAGAGAGTTGCAGAGAAGAAGTTAGGGTTCTAGTTTCTGAGGTTCTCTGGCCGGTCCGGGAAGGGTTTTTGGCCGATACCACGCCCAATCGATACTTGAAACTCTTGTCGTTTCCATGTTACTCCTTAGAACATCTTGCCGTTCTAAGGAGTTAGATTGGTATGATAGTATCTGTCTGTTTATTTACTGTACATTATTTTGTTTTTTCCATATTGATCTCCCAACTACTTACCAAATGTACTTACCAAAAATGCTTTGTTGTTTTTTTCCATCAAATACAGTAATTTGTAAAGGTGAATAAGTCAAATTCTTTAAATTGAGTTGACAGAAAAATCCTCAATTTGTTTTTTATTAATTAGTCCTCAAAAGAAATACGAAAAAATAGGTGTGGAAATTATAAAGAAGATGGACTGTTGACCAATGAAATTAGCTAAGTCAAAAGGGAAAATAAATTTTAACAACATTACCTAATTTATCTGAAAAATGAACTATTTATGGAAACAAATCTATATACAACTACTTATGGATTGTTTACAAATCTATACAACAAGTCAAGATAAATATAGAAACAAATCCGAAATTTTAATGACAAAGATAAACAATGCAATTAAGGATGTGATTGTTTGGGAAAGAAAAAAAAAAAGATAAATTGAAATTATGACAAGAGTAAAGAAATTACAAGAGCTCTACAGACACGTGTCCGCTATTTGAACGCCACTCTCTCTTCGTCTTCTCTCTCTCTTCACAATCCAATTTCTCCAGATAAAACCTAATAAATCCCTTTCTGCGCATGTTAGCAAGATATGGTTCCAGAGTAAACTAAAGAAGACTAACACAAAACTCTCTCTCTCCTTCAATTCCTCTCTCTCTCGCTGACTATGGCCGAGTTACAGTTAGTAGAAGGTCACCAGATTAACGGCGGTTTTATCCCGCCGGCGATAATAAACTCAATCGAAGCACCGGAAACATCCGCCGCAGCCGGCGTTTCAGTCGGATCGAAACGATTGAGAAGACCTAGCGTTAGGTTAGGTGACATCGGCGGTGACCAGTATCACCAACACGTGGTTGCGGCGTACGATTCTCCGCAAGTGCGACGCCCGAAATGGAGACCTAGTGGTGGTGGTGGTGGTGGTAACAGGAAGGAGCCGAATAATCAGAGTGGGAAGACGACGTCGTCGTCGAGGACAAGAACTATGACGAATTTGAGCTCCGGTGGGTATGAGAATACTGGAACCCTAGATGAAGATCCGATTTCGGTTGGGAGTTGGCGGGTTAAGAAATGGGTCAAATCATCCGGTGGAGAGACGGCAGCTACGAATACAGTATCGGCGAAGCGGGTTCGGTCGAATTGGGCGAGTAGAAACGATGGAGATGAGAAATTCAGTGGAGGAGAAGAGGGAGAAGAAGAAGAAGAAGAGGAAGATGAATTAGGAGAAGAAGGGTTTAGGGATTTCAGCAGAGAAGATTCGGAGAGTCCGATGAAAGAACGAAGACGTTACGAGAATAGAGAGGTTGAATTGTTAGGAGATTGGCAGAGTGGAGGAAGAGGAAAAGAAGGAGTGAAGATATGGTTACAAGAGTTAGGGTTAGGAAGATATTGGCCAATGTTTGAGATGCATGAAGTTGATGAACAAGTGTTACCATTGTTGACATTGGAGGATCTTAAAGATATGGGAATTAATGCTGTTGGGTCTAGGAGGAAGATGTATTGTGCAATTCAGAAGCTTGGGAGGGAGTTCTCGTGAGAAGGGTGGAAGAGTTTTGTTTTTTGTGACAGCCATTGGCAATGTAAGCTGCAATGTCTGAAAGCTTAATTCTCTCTTTTGATGTTTTTTGTTTGAATGTAACATTTTAGTCATAGTAGTGTTAGTTTGTTGTAATAGTAGAGGAAGATGAAGAAGGATTATTAACTCATTTGTGATCGTGTATCTTTTGGTTTTATGGTTTGGAAAATTATTGACCATTTATCCAAAATCTTTCTTTCCTTTTTTTTTTTTTGTTCAAAATCGGAATCCAAAACCTTTCAATACAAATAATCCAAACATAGATAACAGTTGTTGTTCGGAGTAATAAAAGAACTCTGACATCATTCAACAAGATTACTATACAATTAAACTCGAGAAAAAAAACATGGAAGAAGAATCACATAAATGCAGTAGCATCATTGTAAACAAGACTTGAGGAAAGGTGGACTAACTCTGGGTTGGGTTTTACTTAGAGAGGAAATGGCTTGACCTCTGAGAAATCAGATTTGTGTGTAAAGCCGAAGTTAACACTTAACACCGCATTTGCTTGCGTTTTCCTGGATGCATCTCTTATTTCATTTGTTTAGTCTTCAATCCAACTTGATGTCATTTTTTGACTGTTCTATCTTCTTCGGCTCTGCCGGGAAATATTTGATTCCACTAAGGTCACCTACTTTGCTTATAACCTGTCCAACACAAAACCACACACATTGATTCAAAACTTGTCTTGCATTGAAACCCGAGCTGAAATCAAAGCATATAGATCCTTTCTTAGCTGTTTTTTGCTTTGGGACTTCTGTGGAATTGCACTTATTTGTAAGAGGAAAAAACACAAGTGGGTAGAATGCAAGGTATTACCTTAAGGGCTCTTATAAGATCTTCTCTTGAATGAGATGCAGAGATGCAAATACGTGCCCTAGCCAGCAGTAGAGGTGTAGCTGGGAAACCCACGACCACCACTGCCACCTGTTCAGAGTTTCAATTTTCAATTGCACCCACAAGGTAATCATTTTTGATGTTGACTTGTGTTGGTGTTAAATCGAGTTCTCATATGATACTTGGATTTGAATAATAGAACTTACTTTTTGTCGCAGACATTCTCGTGAGAAAGCTGGGATTTTTGCTGGGTTGTAAAGCATTATTGGCATGACTGGGGAATCATTGTCTCCAAGTACCTCAAATCCCATCTTCTGCAGCTCAGCCCGGAAAAAGTTGCTGTTCTCACGTATTCTTGCTAGCTTTTGTGCCCCTGTTCAGTATTTGAGAAGAATAGGGGTTTTTTTTAGGTTATGAGTCATGATCGGACAAGATAGAATGTTCTCTGTTATCTAAAAAGGTTCAATTAATGATACACTGAGAAAGAATTAGAGTACCTCGGTTTGAACCGTCCTCTCCCAGAATAACTTTAATGGCAGAAATGATTTGTTGTGCGGAAGGAGTTGGTATAGATGTTGCGTAGAGATGAGCTGGGCATTGATGCTTCAAATATTGGATGAGCTCCTATAGAAGTTAAAGATAATATTAAATTGATTAGCCTTTTGTTGAATTTGAGAAGCGTACAACTTACCTAAGCATCACATGGTATGTGGTATAGATACCAGAGGCCTTAAGTGTGTCAGCTATATTCTTATTTTGTCATTTCAACAGGTCAAAGTAAGTTCGGACTTTTGAGTGAAAGTTACTGCTATCTAATTGCTTTTTGAGCTTAACCAAAATCTTGATTCACCAAAAGAAGCTTACAGTAAATAAATAAAAATGTAAACACTTGCTAACCTTAGATCCAGCAATATAGCCACCACAAGAGCCAAAAGATTTTGTAAAGGTTCCCATCATTACGTCTACATCAGCTGTGTCAACTCCCAGAAGTTCACAAATACCCTTTCCTGTTTTACCAATTGCCCCAATGCTGTGAGCCTCATCCAAGTAAACATATGCCTGAAACGAGGATAGAAGATAAGTTAGGAGTATCTTTTCACGCATCAGAAAACTCCAAATGGGTTTAGAAAAGATGGCATTTCAAAGGGTAATTTAGTCAATAGAGTTCCTTAATCTATCGCTTTCGCTTATGTTGAATGTGGCACATAGTGAACCCAGTTACTTTTTTAGGGCTTTTGCACACACAAAATGGTTTCAGTTGTCAACCAATTCTCACAATCGGTAGTTCAGGATATTGCCTCACCTTATACTTCTTGCATATGGCGACAACTTCGGGCAGATGACAAATCTCCCCTTCCATGCTGTAAATACCTTCAACAACAACAATAATTTTCTTCCATGGTCGATGTGTCCTAGGTTGACCTTCTGCAATTTGTTCTCTCAAAACTCGTTCCAAATGGGAAGGCGCTAAGAAAACAAAAGCAAGAGAATATACATGTAAGCCATCCAATTGTTTGGAAAGAACTTCTGGAGCTAAAAGACAAGAAATGCTTACTGTTATGCTGGAAAACGCGGATAGTGGCTCCTGAACCTCGAGCACCATTGACAATCGAACTATGGTTCAAAGAATCACTTATTATCAGACCTCCCTGTGTACAAGATAGCACAGGAAAAAATATCAACTTAAGCATGGGTTTTAGAAAAGAGACAACATAAGCCTCCATCAACAAAGGGTAAACCCTTGCATACCTTTCCAATCAAGACTGGAATGATAGCTGAGTTTGTTGCATAGCCCATGCCAAAAACAACAGCAGCAGGCTTTCCAACAAACCTAGTAACACATTCCTCAAGTTCTGCATGCACTGATGTAGTTCCTGAAAGCAGAAAACAATTTTTTCAGGAAACAGAGCCAGCAAACGGTTCTAAACTCTATAGGCAAAGACACTGTACCTGCATCAACACGAGAGCTACATGTACTCGCTGAAAATTTCTTCAAGGACTCAATAACACGAGGCGTGCAATATTCATCAAAAGAACCAAACCCAAGATAATTGTAGGACCCCAAATTGAGGCACCTGCTAGTCTTTGTTGTTCTCCTGCACAGAGTCAACACCAAAGGTTTACTCAGCAACTCTCATAATATAGAATTCAAAGCTTCCCCTAATTTAACTTCAATGGGGCAATATTACAAGACTATATCAACCATTCGAATTCAGCAATTTCATATACTCCCAACAGAATCAAAGAAGCTACAACAACTGATGATATAAAAAACACAAGAAGACAGACTCACTTAAGCGTCTTATTGTTGTCATTAGAGTAACGCTCGACGACATCAAACCAAGCATCCGGTGCACTCGATATAGGTCGTTCAAAACAATCCTTGAAGCAAAAGGAAGATAAACAATAGACATCATCAACCAGTAAACTTGTTTGCATAGTTACAATGCCAATAATCAAATCAAATCTTATAGCAGAACCTACGAAAACGAAATGGAATTGATGATGAATTTCACCTGAATCCGATGATACAATCGCCTAATATAAAAATCCTCATGCCCCAAACAGATCGGCGCGTATCCCTGTAGAGCATATAAGTTAAAGAAACTTGTACATTGATCCACATCTAACTACATTATATAAAATGAAAGATGACAGAGAGACCTGGAGATTGCTAGTGAGCCACCAATCAATGAAGCGGCGGAAGAAATCACGGAGCTGGCCAAAAGCAAAGAGCAATCCGTAGCTGAAGTAGGTCGATACAGCGGTTAGATAAGGGATCGTTATCATTTTTTCCGGTCAATCAACTTGCCTCTTCCTCTCTCTTCTCTCTCTCGCCGTCGCTAGGCCGAATCGGAAAACGAATTTAGCGATGAGATCTGGAGAATTTTTCCGACTCTCTCAGAAATTGAAAGTTGAGAGAAAGAGAGAGAGAGATTTGAATTGGAATCTTTTCCCCTCCGTGAGATAGAGAAAGGAATCGGATCACAAAACCATTTCCTTTTTTTTTTTTTACATAGGACTAATATTAAAATATTTAATACAGATAATTCAGAAATATAATTTATTTATTTATTTATCTTTATAACCTTAAAACGAAATAGCGATTTTACGTAACTTGGGCCTTGGAGTCCACTAATTAAACCAAATAGAATAAATGAGTTGGAACACCTTTGGGTTAATGAGATTACTGGACCAAAATAATCAAAACAAGGCCCAAATGTAATCGATATTGTTTAAAACTTAAAATTTAGCTTGGAGAAAAGAAAAAATGAGGTCCTACCGGGAGTCGAACCCAGGTCGCTGGATTCAAAGTCCAGAGTGCTAACCACTACACCATAGAACCAGATGCTTAATTTTACAAAAGAATAATATCTATTGGTGTTAGCCGTTAGGGTATTTTTGTAAGCCTTGTACTTCTTCCGAAAGAGAAATATAGGGGACGTTCTTCAGGAAATTATAATTTCTTTTTAAAAAGATTGTATGGAGTTTAGTGAAAACGACAATAGATCCAACAGATTATCCGGCGTTTTTGAATCTTGTAGCAAATTTTTTAGATTTGAAAGCCTTCATCACTCTTTTATTTTATTTCATTTTCTCCATGTTTTGAATGTTAAGCAACCTTTTTTGGTTTGTAACTTTTTCTGATTTAGCTTACCAAACCATTGAGTTAATAACTTAATATTAAATATCCATATTTCTTTCTTCATCTAGTGAATTTGGATGGTGGCATCCGGATAGTGTTCCAATGCTTTTAAAATGAGATGTAGGCTTATGAAACCAAACAGTTTATAAATAATCTTAGACTTAGCTACTTTAGTTTGGTTGCAATCTTTTTGTCCACCCCTAAATAGTTGTGTTGAATTGCATTTAAATAATATGCATTAAGTTTTATAAAGAAAAGAAATATATATATTATTGTTCCTCTATAGCAGCCATATAAGGATTTCTAAGAATTAGGATATGTCATTGTTACCATCAAAAGAGTCTCTTCTTTATCAAAAGAGGGTTACATAATTTACATCACTCCGAGAGATACAATGTCAAGTCGGTTTTTGAGAAAAAATAAAACATTTTCATCGTGCATGTACCAACCAAGAGAAATGAAAATAAAAATCGATTCTTCCTTCTCAAATTTCGATTTCGTTATATATATGACTTTTAATTTGATTTTTCTTTGTGTATATTTATTCGATTTGTACTTTCCATCATGTATTATTAACCAACCAACCATACAACTTGCAATAGAATGAAACGAGTTGGAAAAAAACAGTTTAGGTTTGATTCAGTGTCGTTTAACTTACCTAAAATTTTCTGAAGGATGAATTATTAAAATTGGTTTTTTTTTTTTTGATCCGGTTTAATTATAAAGTTATTACACCGAACTGAATTTAATTTTAAATGAAAAACCACAATTATTTTCAACAATTTGTTTTGTTTTTATGGTTTTTAATCAACAACTGAATATACAAAGACTTCGATAAACAACTAATTAATTAATTTGCATAGTTTAATAAAGTTGAGGAAGGAATAGATAAACCTTCGTTTAAATACGTCCATACACCTAGAAAGGCATGAAAATGCTTTTATAAAAATATCAAGTCTTTGATGAGATTTATTAAAACATTTTAATGTATATGCATCCCCTTAGCACATTCCATTATCATATACAGTACGATATGCAATATGTGAGTATAAATATCTTATAAGTCTGAGCAGATAAACTTAATCAGCAACATAATAATAGAAATTTTGTAAAGAAGAGAGACAATTGTTGTGCACCGGCCAACTCTACTAAAAGCCAAAGGATGGAACCATATTCGAACGTTTTGTCATATAACGGATGAATAAATATCTCATTCATATTTTCAAATTCAATCAAATTTGTTAAAGGCAAGACGATAATGTGAGTTTTATATACATATATATAGAGTCATAGACACATACACACACAAACTAAGCACATATCATTTTTGGTTTAACTAGCCAATTTCGATTTTTTATTTATAAATAATAATCTATAACGTAGTTCGCAAGATCACCTATTTACAAAAAAAAAAAAGGACAAAGAGGAAAAAAACACAAGAAACTAAAGCGCAACATGATCTAATCAACTGCTAGATGAAATGGTAACGAGCTTATGTAAACCATCTCAAGAACCATGTCTATACTAGCTAGTCTGCTAATAGTACGTACTAGGATGGCGTGCCATCGTAAACAAAAAATATGCGGTTAATTGTTATTCAACATGGTAATGAAAGTTAAAAAGAAATAATTTTTACATATCATATACATATATATATATATAATTGATAAATAATGAGAATACTAGTATTCCATTATTAAATAATTTTCTTATTACATAAATAATGAGAATATGATTATTTCTATGTAATAAAAATTAGTATTAATGTTTTAAGGGAATAAAAGTAATTAAAATAGTAGAAAGCAAAAGATAATAAATAAATATAAGAAATAGACGGTGCAAATACACAATTGGTTAGGATAATATATATATTTGAAATATGTTGGGATTAATTATTGCGAAATTTTTAAAAAATTCTAATATAAGAAAAATAAAAAGACATACAATTATACACAAGTTGCCAAGTGTTCTATCAGATTTTGGAAAAGACCAACATCATTGTTCTTAGTGGTTATAAAAAACAAAAGAGAAGCAGATTATTTGTATAACAAAAAAAAAAAAGTGAAAGAAAAAGAGAAAAAAAAAAACAAATAAAAGGGAAAAAAAACAATGTACATGATATTATCTCGTTCTCCTTTACATGGGAGTGGAATCATCACTCATCTATTGTCTAATAAAGCCTTCAATAATTAATTAGAGATATCTCTCTACACTAAAATATCAAATTTGGCACGTTACATGTAAATCTTATCTAGCTCCTGTTTTTGTTAAATCGTTTTTAAACGTTTTTCTTTTTAATCTCCATAATTGATTTTCTTAAAAACAACGTAGTCGAAATTAGTTTGATTTGAAACCATCTTTTAGGTTAAAATTCTCTTTTGCCCGGAGAACCTTGAGACAAAGAAAAAAAAATGGTACTTACCAAGTCAGTGAAATTTAGATTGCGAGGTGATTCCGTCGAATGCAACAAGTATTCCAGCGTTAGGTTAAAAATCTCCAACGAGTGTGGACGTTTGTTAAGTTTTATTGTTTTCAAACTCAAAATCAATTAGTAATTAATGGAATGACTCATATTCTTTATATTTATCTTAGGTTTTTTCCTTCTTTTTTTTTGTGTGTGTTATATACACACTTATATCTTCACACTGAATATGATTCTCACATTTTTTCGATTTCTTTAATTTTCTTTGATCTATGGCGAATCAATTTTCGAATCCAACATCAACATATGCAATTCAAATGCAATTAACAAAACTTCTTGATTTGGTGATTAATGCATATTTAACTCTCGCAAATGATTATATAATTTTTGATGCCTTTTAAAGTTTACCGTTCCTTAGATATGTCAAACTATTTTATAGTTAACTTAAACATTCGTTCCTATTTTGGAAATACACATTCAAATTCATAATTTAAAGAAGAAACATGAAATTTTTTGTAGACGAGAAAAATTTAAGATTATTTCAAAAAAAAAAAAAGTTATACTATTTAAGTATTTATCTAGCTAGTAGCAATAACAAATTCGGCCAATCATGTCATATCCTCTTCAATTTATCGTTTACATCTTTCTCTTTTTATATAAGGGGCCTCTAGATAAAGCCGACGTACTCGTTATCTTCATGCATGTTTTATTTTTAAACAAAAGAATTTCGTATCTTTTGCATGGAACACAATCCCACGTCACGATTCACAATGGACATGGTTAGCCATGATTTGCCAAAAAGTTTGGAATATAAAGCATTCAATTACCCCCATGACGTCATTATATATATGTATCAGTATCGATGGAGATTACTCATGCACCTCTTTTCTTTTTTTTTTCTCTTTTGCATCATTCATTGGTCAGTTAAAAAAATAAAAATAATATGGTGTTGTCGCCAACTAAATGTTGATGTGAACGTAAATAACTGTTGTCAAAACTGTAAAATCTTTTAAGGTGCTGGACTGTGAAAGAAAATGAATCCAATTTTTTTGATGCAAAGAAAATGATTCTACTAAAAAAAGCATATTATTGCCTTTGGCCAATAAAAAGCGGTTAGGGTCGATGCATTTCCGTACTAAGATATTGAGATTTTATAATTTGATGACAAAGTCAGAGTGATGAGGGTTTGCAAAAATGTCTATAAGAATTTAGAAATATTTGGTGATCAAAATTTTAGACATAGATTCAGATGTTATGTAAAACTGCAAATGCAGAAAACAATGTCAATGACGTTGCTTTTACCAAGTAACTAAAAGTATCTTCTAATTGAAATTTGAAAACATAATATACAAACAGAAAAAAAAAAAACTTATTTCATTCGCACATTTTGTGTATACAGTTTATCAGAATATTTATATTTTATTATAAACAGAATAGTCTAGTAAATATATATATATATATGAACGTAAATGCAATATATTTTACCTTTCGAACAATATTTCAAACTTAATATATAGGAGTATTTAGTTATGTTTATATATATATATATATATATATATATATATATATATATCTTTATCACATTTTTATTAGCGAAAAAAAGAAAGATAATAGAAGAAACAGAAGAAGAAAAAAACATTTAACCAAAAATCAAATGAGAAAAGAAGAAAAAACATAGAGAGGAGATGAATGGATATAGAAAAGACTGAGAGCAACTTGGTACATTAGAAGAACCACATTTTAGTTCGTCTTTCTACTTTGCTTTGTTGTTTGTTCACCTCTTATTTTTCTATTTTCTTCACTATTTATTTTATCTTAGTCTATTTCTCCGATTATCTTCTGCCATTCGAATTCTTCAGCCTACATAACAAGTTTGATAACAGCACGTGTATATATAATCATTTCATTTTCAATAGGCTTTGAAGTGATATATATTTGTAACGTACCTTTCATTTTCGTTTGGGTGTATCCAAATATGATATATTTCGAGTTCTTCCTTTATTATCAGTGATAAATATATGCACTATATAAAAGGAAACATACTTAGGCGCATTCATGAGAAACTATTGTCAATTATTGTTTAGAAAAGCTTGAGGTGGCCAGAAAGACTATATGATCAATTTATTAATTACAAATTAGTTAGGAATGGGATCCGGGAAAATCATTGTTTTCTGTCTTCACGACGATGGTTGATCTCATCGATTAGATATTTGTGTATAGGTTTTAAATCTTTAACAGTAAAAAAAGGAAGTGGATTCTAAAACTATATCGAATGTTATGTAACTAACAAGTGGTCGTTTATTAAAAAAAAAAAAAAAAAAACTAACAAGTAGCCGGTCGTGCTTTCATGAAGTCAAATTTCGGACGAAACCCGTGTTCCGACTAGAGTATACCTACGAATCCATTATGTCGGAAATTTGTTGGAAGTTGAAACTTATTGTTTCCGACGAATTTTCGACAAAACGATCATGGTATTCAAACACAAGAAGCCATTATTATGTAAACCTTTTTATAACAACGAGTATTTACGTAAACATATCACATATAATTATGCTAATAAATAAATGCTTTAAGTCAATCTAAGGTCAAATTAAAGAGAATACCTTGATCAATTTGGAGGAGAAAACGCTTTGTTCAAACCCGGGTTAATCCCTCTTAATGTTTATTTCTTTTAAGTTTTAATGCAATGCTAAGTATAAAGTTTTACTACTAACTATTAAGTCCAATATGGCTTGTGTACAATCTCTCTTCTCATGCTTTAATTTGAAAATCCTTTACCAAAACAAAAAAAAAGGATAGATTAGTCTCACTCACAAACCATTATTGCAATAAGAAAGAAAGAAAAAAACCCCTAATTAACCACATACGAGTTTTACCAACAACAAGATCCAATGATATCTATTGGTTTTGTTTGGGCTTATCTCAAGCCGCATGTCCGACATTTTTATATTAGATAGAATATTGGAGGTGGAAGACATATAACGGTAAATTCCTAAACAAGATCAAATGAAGCTTCGTTTGTATTAGAGACGATTCATGATTTCGAGTGTTTCTGGCGACATGTGATTGCATCCAAATTCTAGCTCAACCGATTATTTGGAGGAGCAAAACATAAAAACAGTTCCAAGCTTGGGTTTCAGCTAGTTAACATAGACATACAAATAGTTTTAATCGCAACATACTAACGATACTTTAACACTAAAAGAAAAGGTTAAGTATATTGTATATATCATGTGGTGTTTTACAATTAAAAAGGGAAAAAATGAAGAAGAAGTATATATGTACTTAAAAATATATGATATCTTCAAAACTGTAATCATAGGAGATGTTCATATCTACTTAACATGTGTAAATATAAATTTCTTTATTATTTACGTGGTTAATTAACTAAGTATGAAGAATTATATTATTAAACGTTTGATGATATGTATATTTTTAACCACATATCTTCTTCTTCTTTTCCCACAAAACATCCCTATTCACACTTAGTTAATTAACATCCCATGTATCTCTACTTATCATTTTTCTTGATTATTTCTTGTATTAAATTAATTATATTAATCATCACTCTGAGTATCCAAAAAAACGGTTAGTCCATTGTCCAAATAAGTATAGATTTATCTAAATGGTGAACAATCTCGCCATTATATACACTTGAAAAAATATATTTGGATCGATCATCGATGTCCTTTTCATTTATAACTTTTACTATAAATAAGATCCTACCCAAAATAATGAACTCTTTGAAAAATGAAAATTATGTGAAACAGCATAATAAGTTACTAATTAACCTAAACTCGTGCATTCAAATAACCATAAAAGTCTGCGCTAGATGAAAGTTTTACAAATGCAGTTCATGCTATTGTTATTTTGTCCTATTAGTTATGAATTATTGGAGTTTGGTTCTTCCAAAATTATTATTTAAATAAAATCAATCACTTTATTTATTTTCACCTACTTCATTATCATCTTAATTATAAACATTGATCTACTCTTGAAAACGAGTAAATTTAACTATTTTTGTATAGAAAATTTAATACGTAACGCATAAAACTACGAAAGACGGTTTAACCTATTATCAAAATCGTATTTGAAAATGTAATGGTTTCAAATAAAATAAATTTAGCCATTGATAGTACTCCCTCCGTTTCATTTTAGTTGTCGTTTAAGGTTTTCTCACACAAATTAAGAAAACCATTAAATTTTATGTTTTACCTTTTATTAAGATATTTTATAATTTTTTCATTGGTCAAAACATTAAAACAATAGGGATAAAACTGGATTTTTTACAAAACATTTGCATTGAAAACCTAAAACGACAACTATTATGAAACAAAATTTAAATCTTAAAACGACAACTATTATGAAACAAAATTTAAATCTTAAAACGACAACTAAACTAAAACGGAGGGAGTAGTAAATTTCCACGGAAAAGAAATTGTGGGTGAGTTCGAAAACCCTCACCTTCTTTAATTTAATAGCACACTTCCCAACTGAACTAATTTTTTTGAAAAAGTATTTATATCCCCTACTAATAACAATCATACTTGAGGTCCTAACCTTCACTTACTTGTGTCACACAAGTTGTGTGCATGACTAATTTTTGTCTATGTCATGTTGGAGCCTATATAAAAAAACAACTTGTATCCATAATCTAGCCAAAATAAAATATATCTTGAAGTTTAAACTTCATCCGATGTACAAGAATTAATTTATCGACCAAATGTTACATAAATACCTTAGTTTAGTTAACATTCAAGCACTGGAATTTTCACTACACTAATCTAAGAGATAATCTAATCTGAGTGTAACCAAATATATAAAAAAAAGAGAGCTAAAAACTAAAAATCTTATCCAAATATTAGTTAAGCCGTCTATTTCTCTTTCCCTCGGTTTATTTTCCTCTTTAAAAAGTAAGACAAAACGAGAACATTATTAGTTCAATATATTTTTAAGTGAAATAAACGTATTTTCAAGAAAAAAATTGAAATAAACATCTACTAATTATTAAACTTGAGAGTACAGTCGTACAGACAAATGTTAATGATTAATAAGAAGAAACGGCAAAAAAGTAAGAAAAAATAATTGAGAAACGTAAATTCAAAAAGAAAAGTGGCTAAAAGTGAAAACGGCAAATATATTTGCGTACAACTTCACGTGAACTAATTGTCTAATTTTCTTGGAAACGTAATTTAAGCGAGGGCTTCGTAATTTAATCCCGTTTTCTTGACAAATGAGGATATAAAGTATAAAACATAGAAATTAAGATTGTAATATATGCAATGTATTCACATATAGGTATATGTGAAATAGGTAGAATCTAGACATAGAGCCCTTAAAAGAAAGAGTTGGCCTAAACCGAAATCGACATGCATTATTTCTGAAAAAGTTATTTTGGTGTTGGAATTATTTTCCAAAATCATTTTATTTCTGTATAGTACACCTACATAGACTAATACTTTTAGAAATTATATTGTTACTTTTCTAAAAAGATTGAAAATTATTATGACTCACACGAAACATTTATCTTTATTTTCTTTCCCACACACATCCCTTTTCATTCTTAAGACCTCCCCCTCTATATATACTTGAAGTCTCTCGAATGTTAAGGTCGTGCCATTAGCTTTTGATTTCAGAAAAACACTTACAAAGATCTTTCTTACTTCGAAGAAATCTTCTTCTCTCTTCCATAAAAAACATCCTAAACCCGGAACCAAAGATCGATATTCATGGCTCTCTTCGACACTCATAACACATGGGCCTTTGTTTTCGGCTTGCTCGGTATGAGTTCTCACGTTCATCTATCTCTCACCATAACCTATATCCAGATTTTGATATCAAAATTAACCGGTATATACATATATATTAGTAACACTACTTTCATTTTTATCGTGTAATTTTCAGGAAACCTCATTTCCTTTGCTGTTTTCCTCTCTCCCGTGTAAGTATTTAATATTTACCTCACTCTGTTCTTGTTTCTTCATAATATATGTCAACACATATGTTTCTGTTATTATCTAACTAGCAAGAACTATGATGATCATATGATAACCAAATGAGAAATTTTAAACTAAGAGATACATATTGATTCAATATGGATGTGGATGCAGGCCAACGTTCTACAGGATTTGTAAGAAGAAAACCACAGAAGGATTTCAATCTATTCCCTACGTGGTGGCGCTCTTCAGTGCGATGCTTTGGCTCTACTACGCTACTCAGAAGAAAGATGTCTTCCTTCTCGTCACCATCAACAGCTTTGGTTGCTTCATTGAAACCATCTACATCTCCATCTTCGTTGCCTTCGCAACCAAGAAAGCTAGAGTATGTTCATTACCAACATATATATGCACACACACATATATATATATATATGATATTTATTTTATGTGTGATATTTAATGATTCTTTTGGTGCAGATGCTAACAGTGAAGCTGTTGTTGCTTATGAACTTTGGAGGATTCTGTTTGATTCTCCTCCTCTGCCAATTCTTGGCAAAAGGAACCACACGTGCCAAGATCATTGGAGGAATCTGTGTCGGATTCTCTGTCTGCGTTTTCGCTGCGCCGCTTAGCATTATCGTAGGTTTTGAGTCTCTAGCTAGTATTACATAAACTAAATATGAAAAATATGGTTTTGACTAACTAGTTTTGTATTAAAAATACAGAGAACGGTGATAAAGACGAAAAGTGTGGAGTACATGCCATTTAGCTTATCCTTGACTCTTACCATCAGTGCGGTCATATGGCTCCTTTATGGTCTTGCTCTTAAGGACATCTATGTTGCCGTAAGTCATCATCATTATCATAATCATTATCATTTTTTGCATGAAGTGGTTGCTTTTGTTCCTATTTTACCTGAGCCTATGATGCTAATCATAGATAAAGAGAGATATGGATTCACAAAAGCAAAACCCTTTTTTTTTTTTGTCGAAACCCTTTTGTTCGGTATTATTGTCGTTTTACATTTAAATATCCCACTAAACACTAAAGATACTCCTTTTTTGTATTTTTTAAAAGAAAAACCTTAAAAGATTACATCTTTTACAAAAGAGTTTTATCTACATATATGTTACATAGATTTGTATATTGCACGTAACCTCTCTAGACATATCTACTGTGCCCAAGTTTTAGGAGTTTGAGACTAGTTTAAAGATAACTTTATATATAAGGGGAAAAAACTGATTTTGCTTTAACAAAAAAAAAAACTGATTTTAGTTTATTTTAGTCACTACAATAAAACTGATTTTTGAGATTGGAAACCTCAAAATTTATATATAGTATATATATCTATATATATTTTTTTATATGCAACCATTTATTTAGTATATATAAATGTTGATATAAATCTATAGTGTAAAGTTCATATATAAAAATAAAAGTAGGTATATTGCTTTGAGCACTAATAAATTATCTTTAATTTCTCCTTTTTATATGTCTGTCAATTTTTGCAGTTCCCTAACGTGATTGGGTTTGTTCTCGGTGCACTTCAAATGATACTTTACGTGGTTTACAAATACTGCAAAACGCCGTCGGATTTGGTTGAAAAAGAACTCGAAGCCGCGAAATTGCCAGAAGTGAGCATTGATATGCTGAAGTTAGCTACACTGACATCTCCTGAACCAGTCGTCCGATCCGTGAACACGTGTAACTGTAACGATCGAAAGGCTGAGATTGAAAATGGTCAGGGAGTTAGAAACAGTGCAGCTGCTACTTGAGTTAGCCCTATATTAAGAAACCTATTTGTTGACTATTTTGACTTTGTAACCTTCTTGATATACCCACCAATCACCATCGTTCACGTGTACTCTTTTCGCTATCGTAGTTTTCTGAGTTTATCAAAGTGTGCGAAGTCGAGGATTAACTAATCGGGAAAAACATTTTTCTTGGTTAATTTTTTTCTCTTCTTCTTTTAATTATTATGGGATTATGTAATTAAAATATCTGTTGGATATAAATATTTCTTATTTTCCAAGTTGAAAAGAATTTGAAATTTCTAAAGAAACTGTTTATCTTTTTCTTTAGCATACAAAAATCAAAAACAAAAACTCGGAGCTAATTAGTTTCACTTTCAACACTCTGTGACCGAAAGAACAAATGTCCCGGGTTCAATCAAATCCACTCAACGACGGAGAAATGATTTAAACTTGCTTTGGTCTCTGTCCAAATATATATATATATATATATATATATATATATTTGATAAATGTCCAATTATATATTCTGAACAAGTTAACTATATTGTGAAACATATATGTAAAAAGTGTAAGTATCAACTAGAGGAAACTCTCATAAATTTCTGAGGGTTTATATATTTAACTAATGAAATTGGCCATCAAATTTAAAATTTTGAAATGTTAATGCACTTTCATGAGGTCTTACTCTTCTAGTTTTAATGATACATATAATTCTAATCGAAGTGTCAAATATTAGTTTTCATACCATTATTCAATTGGAAATTTTCACTGTATTATATATAAATTATGTGTATTTTGAGTTACACAGATATCTTGTTCTCTAAAAATATGTATGATAACCATGAGTATTTTGAGTTTTGATATGTTTATTTGGAATAAAAATAGGTTTCTATGTAAAAAAAATAAAATTAAAATAGGTTTATATGTTACACCCTAACGATATGATCCAAGAAAAAACATCAAATAATCCCACACCAAACAACAACAAGATGAAATAAGTATCCCTCTTACACTTTAAAACAAGCACAAAACAAGAAGGTTAAGACCTATCTTTGGGATCTAGTTGTATAAGTCAATGTTGAATGGGATTGAATCTATGTTGAGTGGTGCACTAGGATCCAAGTAGTAAGGTACTGAATTATGTTGAACTCCAGAAGTCATGTGAGGTGGGGCCAAGCGGTTCAGGTTTGTTCCAAAAGGTGAGAGCATTGGTCCAACCATTGGTTGGCTTATGGTAGACGTTCCATACATAGGAATATTGGCTGATGGTTGCAAAGCGGCTTGTGTGTTCCATGTGGTGGATGCACCATATGTAGGATGGTTTAGTGATGGTTGTGAAATAGCTTGAGTAGCTTGTGTATTCCATATGTTGGGTCTGTCATATATAGGAAGGTTTACTGATGGTTGCAAAGTGGTTTGATTGGCTTGAGTGGTGGAAGTAGTAGCACCATTGATGTTTCTGTTTTGCCATGTGATTGGTCTTTGTTTTGTTGAGATACATTGGTTTTCCGCAACGGTGATGTCATGAATGCTTGGCCTCTTTCTCTTCTTATCCTTTGAGTTGATACGTGCAAAGTATTTTTGAGCATGACTTGCAACCTGAGTTGATGTTCTTGTCATCACGCAGTGGCGAGAAATGCTACGCCAATCACCTTTCCCATATTTTTTCAAACCAAGCAGAAATTGTCTATTCGCATATAAAAAAACAAAAGAAAAAACAAAATTACTAGCAAAGAAATAAGTATACCACAATTTTACTACCAAAACAAAATAAACACAAAACCATATATAAAATATTAAAGACAAGTGAATTTAGTCGAAACCTGTGTTCAATTGGATTCCAAGGAATCCCCTTTCGTCGTTTTTGCTTTAGTTTTGATTTACCTTTGTGCTTAAACTCACATTTGCGAATGTTGCCACCTTCCAATATGCTTCTTTCTTTATCACTAGCATCGCGATTTGGTTCTTCTGAAAAATCATAATCAGGAAGAGGTATACATCCAGATTCAATCAACATAACATCACGAGCTAAAATATTGTAATGCTCTATAACTTGTTCTAAAGTTTTTCCAGGAACAACTGTAGCAATTTTTTTCCAACGAATCTCTGTTTTATCGTTATAAATTGCAAGTGCTCTCTCGAAAGCAATATCATCATCTTTGTTCCAAGATGAACCAACACTAATTTTCTGTCCCAAAGCCATTTTCCAAAATTTTAGACCAAAAACTATCCGACCAATGAAAAACAAGACCAAACTACTGACTTGAAATCGTAAATTTTGTTTTACAAAAACCCACAAACTAGTATTGATAGACTAGTAAGAACCCAAACTTTGTTTATTCTAAAGAACTCTTTTTTTTTTTTTTTTTTTTTTTTTTTTTTCTAAAGAACTCTATGATATTTCAAGATCTATTGAACGTAAGACGGATAAGGATCAAAACACAAGTTCTATAGTATTTATAGATAAATCCACTTTTTTTTTTCTTCTCCAAATATGGTGCTTATACAATGTACCATGCGACAGGTGGTAAACAATATCAATTGTCTCTTTTTATGTTTGCAAAATAATATATAGAAATAAATCTTTTTTTCTTTGCAGCACATAGAAATAAATCTATATATATCAAAATTTCCATTTTATAGTATTAAATATAATTTTGCTGGTGTCAAGCAACAATTGTGCAAGTCCAACACATTTTAAGTCATTATGAGGCAAAATTTAACTTTTAATACATTGCCTATAATCTTAAATAACACTTTGATGTAGGATATATGTCACACGTCTAGTCTAGTCAGACAAGAATTATAAGAAAATTTTAATACATTGGCCTATATATTTAACTTTTTTTTTAAGGAAAATTTTATCCATTAGAGGCAAAATTTAACTTTTAATACGTACAATGGCCTTTATATCTTATATAAATCAATTAAATTATGGTCTTAAGTGATTTTAAATAACTAAATACATATGTGGTCTCTACATTTTTCTTAAATTTGTCTTACTTGATTCAATTATTTGTTTCTCTTTCGAAAAATATGGGTTTTTAACTTATGATGTGGAATATTCAAATATGATGTGGAATATTCTTTACAGTTAGCACTCAATCTTATAATTACTGTGTTTTATAATATAAGTATATAACACATGTTTTAATAAATGTAGAGACCGCATATTAAAATCAGTTAGTAAAACTAAATACAATAATATTGTTTTTCTTAATTCATTTCCTCAGTGTAAATGAATATGTTTAGAATAATCTTGTTGTGATCTATATCTCTTCAAACACGTACTCAAAGCTGACGATGATGGCCACAAACGGCCCACTTGAGAAGTTCAACTTTGATCTTATTAATGGGCTAACGTCGGCCCATATAAACCCAGGAAAAAAAATGTAAGAGGAAGTAAAAACTTTTTTTTTAATAGAGAAGTAAAAAGTTATAAATAAAAATTAAGATTAGAGATGTGATAAAATTAACAAAATATAGAAGTCCACGAAAAGAGAAACCGAAGCGGCTAGAGCTAAACTAAGCCGATTCAATCGTGGAGTCGTGAGGCAATCAAAAGGAGATTCCTTTTGGGTTTCGTCGTGATTCGATCTTAGCATGTCAATTTGAAAACCCTAGTTTTGATCTCTCTCGATTTCAAATCCTAACTCCAAATTTCAAGGTTTGTCTCTTTCCCTCCTCCTCCTTAGATCTGGTTCTAAATTGATTTTTCTCAATAGGGTTAAGGTTTTCTAGGTAATCTTTTGTTCTAATGCGCGATTAAAATGATATGAACTGGGAAATTTCTTAGCTTTTTGTTTAATTGAACCGTTTTGAGGTTTCGATTTGGTCTTAGTCTGTAATTGTGAATGTTGTGCAGAACTCAAGGAACTTTAGACGATTTCAAGGTGGTGAACTAGGTTTTGGTTTTGAGATGTCGAGCTTTCGTGTGGGAGGAAAGGTAGTGGAGAAGGTTGATTTATGTAGGAAGAAACAGTTGGTGTGGCGCTTGGACGTTTGGCCTTTTGCCATTCTGTATACAGTATGGTTGACTACGATCGTTCCTAGCATAGACTTCACTGATGCTTGCATTGCGCTTGGTGCTCTTTCTGCTTTCCACATCTTAGTCTTGCTTTTCACTGCGTGGTCGGTGGATTTCAAGTGTTTTGTCCAGTTTAGCAAGGTAACCGGGCAGTCCAATGGCTGTTAACACCGACTTTTTTGACAGATCAATCCTGAGTTACATGTATTGATCGGTCCTGTGTCTGTGTATTGTATTAACAGGTTAACAGTATCAACCAGGCAGATGCATGTAAAGTTACGCCAGCCAAATTTTCTGGTTCTAAAGAAGTTGTGCCTCTTCATTTTCGTAGCCAAGTAAGTTCATTCACTATTTAGATGCCACTAGCTTTCTGTTTTCTTTGCATCTAGTTGGTTCTCGTGGTATATGTAAAGTTCAGTGTTTTCCCCCTTAACAAACCGATACTATGCTTCTGCCATTTCTCTCTGCGTAAAATTTAGTGAATTAAAGCCCTATACTATTTGAATCCTCTTTTGGACTGGAAATGCTTGATTTTACCAGTACTCTTACTCTCATGTTTTTAACACTTTTAAGTCTTTTGTTGTTTGCAGATGACAGATTCGGCATCCTCGGGAGACATGGAAGAAATTTTCTTTGACTTCAGGAAGCAGCGTTTTATATACTCAAGAGAGTTAGGAGCTTTTTCAAAGCTTCCTTACCCCACAAAGGAAACATTTGGTCATTATTTGAAATGTACTGGTCATGGTACAGAAGCTAAAGTTGCCACTGCCACTGAGAAGTGGGGAAGGAATGTGTAAGTCGCCTTGTAATTTTTCCTCTACATTTATCTATCACTTGTTCACTGTAACGTTGATAATTGATGTTTTTTTATTGGCAATAATTCTTTTTAATCGTCTCTTAATTTGTGCGTTCTGTTTTTCTTTTAATATACCCAACTGACCTCTATTAAAACATTGCTCCTGGTGAATATCCTAAGTTTTGTTTGTTCTTTTATCTGGTTTGATACCTTGTCTCTGTGCCTTGCAGAT